CCGCCGCCTCCCGGCCGCCATGGCGCTGCCCAGCTGGCCCGCAGCTCTCGCGGAACTCAGGCGGTGCCGGCCGCGGGGCCTGCCCGGACGGACATTTCGCAACACGAGGGAAGGGGGGCGCGAGCTCCTGCTAGGAACGGAGGTTGCAGGAAGGAAGGGAATGGGGGGTGTGGGGACTATGAACCGGAAGTGGAGGTGAGCAGGGCGCCGTCTGGAGAAGGGTGTCCCGGCTCGCGAGCTGTCAATCAGAACCGTGGCCCCCGCCCCCTCCCGCAGGGCCAGCTCTCAAAGCAAGGGCTCCTTGCTAATAGCAGCGCGAGAAATGGGGTCGAGGTCCCGTCCCGTCCCGTCAGCCTGCTACAAGAGCTGAAGCGGACCCGGTCCCCCAGTGCAGCCTGTCGTCGCCCCGCCCTGCCCTAATCTAACCTGCCCTGTCCGGCTGGTGGAGGGCGGGTCCACTGTCATTGCCACACCTACCTCCGCCTATTTCCGTCGGTTCCTGTGGAGCACGTTCTCCAAAGGACGGACACCCGACAGCGATACAAGCTGTTTATTGTTGGCCCTCTGTGTTGTCTCTGCAGTAGGCCGCTCTCTTCAGCAGGGCTTCTATTAACCCTCCTTTTCTTGGGTGCAGCTCGTTGGGGAAACTGAGGCACGCAGCATTATTACAACACAGACACTGTTAAGAAGAGAAATTTTACAATAAAAACCATCTGTCACAAATGGCTGTGGTCTTTTTTTGGGGGAAAGAGGAGCAGGTTTGTTTAAGACTAAACATTTCCTAGTGTACTAAGAAAAGTCACTACTGACATTTTTAAGCAGCTCTGATACATCAGCATTTGACTTGGTATAGCTCCTATTTCACAGCAGACTGGTTTTGGGGAGAAAAACCATACAGAGCATATGTGCAGATTTTTTCTGGTTGAGCACAGAAGTGTGGATGTTGTTTGTAATGATAACTGTAATACTTTAATTGCTGTCCTACCTATAAGCTTCAACTAAATCAGGCCCTGTTGTGTCAGGGGCTTTATATGTTATTAAAGGTGATTTATAAAGGGAAAGTATTATGATTATCACCTTTTTGTGTCTCATAAAGAAGTCCATGTATATATAGCCTTATATACCATATATAAGAAGGCCATATATATGTGGCCTTATATACATACACACACCACTGATTTTGATTTTGAGATACATAATTCTATCCGCTCTCTCACCTTGTGAAATTATAAGGCAGTTGGCTAGTTATCTCAGGTGCCTGCACATGGATGCACGGAGCCCAGGAAACAAGCAGGAAGAACTGGAAGTCCATGCACAGTCACAGAACTAAGATGCGATTGGTATAACAGAGACGTCATGGGATAGTTTACATGACTGGAGCACTGTCATGGATGGGTATAAACTGTTCAGGAAGGGCAGGCAGGGGACAAAAGGAGGAAGAGGAGTTGTACTTTATGTAAAAGAGCTGGATGAGTGTTTAGAGCTCCAGTATAAAACTGGAGATAGGTCTGTTGAAAGTCTCTGGGCCAGGTCAGAGGGGAGAGCGACAAGGGTGATGTCGTAGTTGGTATCTGCTATAGACCACCAGGCCAGAACGATGAGGCGGATGAGGCATTCTTCAAACAGCTAGTGGAAGTTTCCTGATCACAGGCCCTGGTTCTCATGGGTGGCTTCAGTCACCCTGACATCTGCTGGGAGAGCAATACAGCAGTGTACAGGTGATCCAGGAAGCTATTGAAGAGTGTTGGGGACGACTTCCTGGTGCAAGTGTTGGAGAAGCAAACTAGAGGCCAAGCTATTCTTCACCTGCTGCTCACAAATGGGGAAGAATTGGTGGGGAATGTAGTAGTGGATAGCAACTTGGGCAGTCGCAACCAGGAGATGATTGAATTCAGGATCCATTAGGAAAGGAAGGAAGGAGAGCAGCAGAGTGCACATCCTGGACTTCAGAAAAGCAGACTGACTCACTCAGGGACCTGATGGCCAGGATCTCCT